GGTGAACATGGTTTTGAATCGCAGCGGTTTGACCACGCACAGGCATTTAGCCAAGGCGAGGTGGGTGGTTATCAAGACGGGCATCGCGAAAAGACAGGTCCTAATGTTTCCCAGAAATGAGTTGAAGGCGTAAGGGTTGATGTAGAACCAAACCTTGTATTCCGTCGCCATTTCCGTGACCCACAGGGCCATGGAAAGTTTTTGACCGAACGCGGCCAGGCAGCACAGGAATTCAGCCCAGGAGATGGACAGGAACGATACTGTCACGCCGTCGTCGGCCCCCATGGCGAGAAATGTTTTCATGTTTACAATATTTGTGACGAGGCCGAGAGCGGATAGAAGGATATCCACAGACGAGAACATCGCCATCCACCCGATGAACTCGTGTTGTGTCACGATAGGGTCAAACTTTGCGGAGATGTTCACATTGCTGGATGGCGAGTCTTGGCTTCCGCTTCCGATGAAAACAGTTAACGGTGCATTTTTGTCGGCCATTTTAATATTTTTTAAATAGTTTTTATAAGACATATGAGCATCACTACATTTGTTTTGTAAATAAATCGTAATAAATAAAGAAATGGAAAATTTGAATAAGAAAATTTCATAGAAAAAATGATTTGTTAAAACTATTAAGTAAACAAACAAATGTTAGATGTATTTTATAATAATGTGGAGAGTTCAGACTTTGACCGACTGATCAAAGCGCCGGGGGCGTCAGATCTCGCAGCAGGGTTACCGGCCATCTGACCAGGGTATCTCCCTGGGACGACGGGTTCGGACCTGAGGCGACGGGGTTGGGGGTAGTGACCGACTGATCAAAGGGGTGGGGGCGTCAGATTACAGAACAGGGAAAGAACTCTATGGACCAGGGCTTTATAAATAGAGACCCCTGGACAGGACTGGAGGATTTGGCCGGACAGAGAAGCGGACATAGCAGAGAGAGCTCCGACGGTAGAAGAAGAGGGCAGTCAGAGTTGCGAGATGAAAGTATAAACGAAGTGTCAGCCCAATAAAGAACAAGATTATAATCATCAAATGCTATCGCCTGAGTTGTTTCCTTAGTGAATACCAGATATAGATGAAGGTTAGCAGAGAGCAAGCAAGGTTTCCTTGCAATAATTAATTAATTAAGTAATGCTAAAATGAAAACGAATGGTCTTTAAAAAAATTGAATACATTAGTTGATACTTAATTAATAATCAGGACACGTGTTTATTGGTTGGGGTATTAGTGTGACGGAACATCCTTGTTACATCAATGTTGATTGGTTACTTTATAAAATTGGGGAACTTATGACGTCAAGGGAGGCAAGGGGGGGGGGTCTTACTTTATAAAATGTTGTATGGCTGAATTAAGCCTTTCAGTACACCTCTCTCAAGTTTAAGGATGTACACTTCTTGGGAGGAATGAGTCAAATAATTTTTTTTTGGTTAGTTTAGAAAATTGGGGAACTTATGACGGCAAGGGAGGCAAGGGGGGGGGGGTCTTACTTTATAAAATGTTGTATGGCTGAATTAAGCCTTTCAGTACACCTCTCTCAAGTTTAAGGATGTACACTTCTTGGGAGGTATGAATCAAATAATTTTTTGAGACCACCCCACCCCACCCCAATCTTTTGCCATTTTTGTGTTTTATACGCCCTGCATTAAAAGTTAAGAGCTTATAACTTTTTTCATATCACAATTTTGGACGTCTTATAAAAATCCGAGGCCCCCGTGCAGCAGCAGGAGTTGCAGGGTTCATGCGACGGTCCTGGAAACAAAACATGTTTCCTTAGAAGGCAGTCATGAAAGAGGCAGTTTTGAGAAAGACTCTTATTGTTCCATTGGAGCTACGATTAATATACTCGGCGACCAAAAAAGACAGATTCCTGTGGACACAGTGGAGCAGTCTACATAGTGAGCTATAGCAGGCGTTGCGGGAGGCAGGTAGTTTCAAATGGTGACCACAACAGGCGATAGTCTCAAGGGCATGGGGCTCCAAAGTGGTAGATTTATGTCAAATCTTCGGAAAAAGAAGTATATCCCTAGAAAGGAGGATTCTGCCGTCAGCTCCACATCCCTGCAGTGTAAGTATATCAACATTTATTCTGGGGAGGGGCTAGTGCACCGCCTTCTCTTGTCACGGCCATCATATTCAGCAAAAGCTTTATGTAAACTCAAAGTAATGGTAACCGATGTGCAGTGGCGTAGAAAAGAGATTTGTGAGGGTGGGGGGGGGGGGTTCCATTACAAGTAACTTTTCATATGACATTAAGTTTGAGATATAATTTTTCGAGGTGGGCCCTGTCGAAACGTTGAATCTATTGAGTTGCAATTATCCACTCATGGCAATGAGTGTCTACTTATCTGGCCAAGTCTCTCCCTTGATCCCACGAACAGTATTACCAATAGCAACAGTTTCTAATTCAACAAACACTTTTCCCTATCGAACATGACAACAATGCTCTACACATAACAACAGTGATTCTCATACCCTTGACTGCCTAAGGGTCTCCGAAAATTTTTAATCTAAAGGCTTTTTAAAAAATTAATAAAATCATCCACGTGTTTGTAACCCCCTTACGTTCTTAAAAACAAATTTTTGTCTTCTGCATTTCATTATGCTTTGTTCTTATTGGAATGAGTGATAAATGCCTTAGTGAATGTGATTTGGCTTTGTAGTTTCACTGCACCGATTGAATCAAACGGAATTTTCTAATTAAAGTTATATTTAAAGGTTACGTATTTACTACTTTATAGAATCCCTTAAAGTATATTTTTTAATGACTACAAAGTAAAAATGTATTGAATGTTTAAAAATACAAAGCTAAAGTAGTATTTCATTTTAGAAAATTTTAGCAATTTAAAAAGCAATCAATTATATTTATTAATTGTACATACCCTTTTTGGTTACGCACGGTTATTAAATAAAAGAAACTTTGAGCTGTGGCTAAAATAGACAATTAATGCTATGACGACATTTGCGTATTTATTTAAATCAAATTACTTTTATTTTTATTTAGAAATATTAACAATGCACTAAAAATAACAGATGTTTGAGTTTTCTTGATAAATATGGTTACAATGCAATTCTGAGATTATAATTTTTTTATGTAATATTTTTTTCATAACTTTTACATTCTAATACAATGCTTAAAATAGTTCCATAGTTGTTATTTTTTTAGGGATTTGAAATTTATAATAATAATAATTAAAACTTTTACTAAAATAAAAGCGGATATGAAATATGTTTTTGCGCATTTAAATTTATCAGATTTCCGTAATATAATAGAAAAAAATATAATTGTTTTTAAGAATCCGAGCGTATCAAAATACTATCGGTTCTTTGGCGTTACGGTCAGCATAGCTCATACATATAATTTATTCAATTTTCCAGCCAATTTATTTTACAGTTACTTTTTCTTTTTTTTCGAATTATTCTTTATATAATTTATTAGTTTATGTTAGTATTTACTTTAAATAATTTTATTCTTTATATAATTTATTTCTTTAATTAATTTATTTCTTTATCTTATATTTTTTAACATAAGTTATTACTTTATATTATTTATTCCCTGTTCCAAAATGTCTCGTTTCTTTTCCGTAGTAATTTGTGATGTCATACTTTTAAACCAGTACACTTTCTTTATTATTATACAGTTCAAATACAGATACAATTTTAAATATCAAGTTTCAAGCAGTGAAATCAAATCAGATTTTGTCACCGATTCTATGGAATAGAATAAATTTATCTAATTCATAAAATTATCCAAGTCATTTATTTAACAGGTTTTTAATTATACAAATAAAATAAGTAATCAGTCGGTAAGGACAGTAGCAATTCAATTAAGGATAGCTACTTGAAGAGAAATATTCTCTGAGGTGGTGGGAAACTTAAAGGTTAATTATAGTAAAAGGCTGACCAACCAATTAGCAGAACAGGGTTCAGAATAAAAAAATAATCCTGGTAGTGAATCACTAGAGACGTGAAGATTTTTTGGATGACTTCTGAAAAGGGACCGTTTGTGGGGACCATCTGTAGAGCTCAGTCTTAGAGTAGTAGAGGATAGTCGGCGGAGAGAGATCGCAGTTGGAGAGTAGTAGAGGTCAGTTGGGGAGAGAAACCAGAAGGAGAGTCGTATGGGACAGCTGGAGTAGAGAACCTTGTCTGAGAGTAGTAGAGGACAGTCGGGGGAAAGAGAACTCATCCGGAGAGTAGTAAAAGACAGTTGGTAAGAGAGCTTTGTCAGAGAGTAGTAGAGGACTGTTGGCGGAGAGAACTTAGTCAGAGAGTAGTAGAGGAGAGTTGGAGGAGGGAACTTAGTTGGAGAGTAATAGATGACAGTTTGGGGAAAGAACTAAGTCGGAGAGTTATTGGAGACACTTGGTGGTTCGAACACAGTCAGAGCAGAGAGAGAGAGAGAGTAAAGTTGGAGGGTAGAGCAGTTGTAAGTTTGTTGTTGTTGATCAAGAAAAGACTTAATCAATATTCATTTTAACTTCATCGAATACAGTTATTAAGTCATAATCTTAAATTTTATCGGTTAAGGTTTCAGGTGAGCGTAGGTGCATTTCAGAAGAAGTATTTGAAGGCATGCCGGGAACTAACAACAACTTTACTTTAACTCATTTTTAGCAAATTAATGTTTTATCACAATTTATTCCATAATACATTTCAGGATCATCACAATTAACAATCAGTGAAAATATATTCAGAAAGCACTTCATGCTTTAGTATTTGCACATCCAGCCCTTGCACTTTATGTTGTCGGCACAGTCTTTGTTAAAAAATACCAGAAAACCAATAGAATTTAACATTATGTGACTTAAAATCATAAACACATAACAACAGATAAAAAACAAAAAATAATTTGGTTTGTACACGGAAAAGCTAAGGCATGATTGGGCTCAAACAATTACATCTAAAAATAACTTTTTTTGAACTCCAAATATTTCAATGCTTCCTTACACGTATCGTTAAGATGTCATCTCCTTAGGTCACTGCAGCTCATTCCGGGGCTACCATTTTAGTGTGCAGTATTGCTTGAACTTTGAGTTGTACTTGTAGTAGATGAAAATATTGGCTACCGACATGTACAGTTCAGAGTTGTCTTTGCCGCGTATCGTAACGTCATACATGTTCTGGTAGGTCCCGCCCTGCGTCATTTCCGGCGTGAAGGCGAACGCCAGGAAGATGACAATCTTGGGCGTGTTGGCCACAATGTAGACCACTGAGATAAGCGTGACCTGCTTGATGACCTGCAGTTCCTTCCCCGTGAGTCTACTGAACTGCCTCTTACCAGTTTTTGACTTTTTAAGTCCGTCGTCCGGATCTTCGTAGAAACTTCCCGACTTTAACTTTTCCCGATTGTTGACAGCTTCGGTCAGCTCCTTAGCCATGACGACGACACAGATGATGATAATTACCTGTGTCGCCAACGACGGGAACGTGTCCTTGGCGTTCCAGATCACGGTCTTCACGATGTCTCGGTAAGGAGAGTACCACATGACGCGACGCGTAGCATTCACCTTTTTATCGAGCGTCTCAGCGATGCCGATGGTGGCCATGACCGGGATGTGAGAAACAACGCCGAAAATGCATATCCCCGTCATCACCCTCACCGTCCTTGACACCGAGAACATGTTCCTGAAGGCCAAAGGCTGCACGACGCACATGCACTTGGCCACGGCCAGGTACGTGGTGATGAAGACCGGTATCGAGAAGAGCCCTCCTCTGATGTTACCGAAGAACACATTCAGCGCGTACGGACTGACGTCGAACCACGTTCTGTAATCCGTCGCCATCTCCGTCACCCAGAACGCCATGGCGATTTTTTGGCCCAGCGCGGCCAGGCAGCACACCAGTTCGGCGGACGACAGAAACAGGAACGCCACGGTGACGCCGTCGTCCGCGCCCATGGCGACGAACGTCTTGATGTTGACGGTGTTGGTGACGACGCCCATGACGGACATGATCATGTCCAGGCAGGTGTACATGCCGATCAAAATCGTGAACTGATGTTGCGTGATGAGCGGGTTGATTGGAGAGGATTCAGCGGCGGCGCTGACCGTATCCAGGCTCTGGTTGTTCCAGGACATGACGTCCGTAAAATGCGTGGTTCGCTCCGTTGTCATCTCGACTGGCTTACTATTGGACGAGGTTATGCCTTTGTTTTTATAATGTCTATAACGTTGTTTATCTTCAAGACAGGTCAATGGAGAATGACCACTTCGGTGTCTCTGTCGATTTTTTTAAAGAAGCATTAATAATGTACACAATTAACAACACTAATCCTCTTCTATTTTTAGCATCCGCGATGGTGTAGAGTGCCGCAATTGTTGCGCCAGTTCTCCATCATGTTGAAGGAACTTCCCGCTAACGATAATTTAAAGCGGATGTTCTGGTAATAATCCCACTGGCAGCGTATAGTTCCATCTATTCATTGTAAACGTATAAAAATATAAAAAATAAAGATGATCCAATAAATGATTTTTACCTTTCAATTTTTTGACGACCTTCAGGTGTTGAAAGAAATGATTAGTTTGTTTTTTAGCGTGATTGACTATGCACGAGTCTAAGACAGAGTGATCGATCTAATTACATTTACTGAATTAATTTAACTTTCGTTGTCGTAACCCTTGGAAAAAAATTTCCTAAAATATTTAAAATGGATATAATTACTGTCTATCCGTACAATGGTTATAAATAATCGTTTATGTAGTGTTAATAACAAGTGAAATGTGTAATGACATGCTAAATCTAAATTAATATGTTTATTTTTTTCAGTCCGTTTCGTGTCAATTTTTTAAATTTAAATTTTTTAATTCTTGCTTTTATTTATTTATTTTTTTTAAATTGTTAAAAAAAACAAAAAACATTTCTATGGTGTATAACAAGAAAAATAATGAACAATAATTTGGATCATTAAAGTTTTATTCATGAAGACTATCAAAAGGGTTAAATTATTTTTTTTCCTTCAAATTGCAGCGTACAGAAGTTATTTTATTAAAAGAACGGAATAAATTGTGTCTCCGATTTTTAAAAAATAATTAATTTCTTTACGGTAGAAACAAAAAATTTCCTTTACGGCATTCCAGTATAGCGATTTTCTTCAGCGTCATAATTAGAAAATGAAAACCAAATGATTACTGAAACACTGGGTTGCTTTGTCTTCCCCTTTGTACGCAGTTTGTGGACCATGGCTCCGCGGTAAAAAGTAGCTCAGTTGGTACGTTAATTACCACTCGATACCAGTCATCACCGAGATCTCGCAATGTCATTTTTAAAAGAAGTCTTTTTTTTGTGTGTGATCGATTGACTCCCAAAACCCCTGTAATATATTTGCGTATTATGGTGGATTCTAAATGTCATTTGGCGATCAGGAAACTACGAGGTACAGTTTTTTTAAAAACTGATGTCCTCAAATCAAGACATCGCACGCTCATGTAAAAACAAAGAAAGTTTAACATGGAATGAGTGAAAATAATTTATTTTGTTTTGTTTTCACGTTAGAATGTTGTTAATGGGGTTAAAATAAATGATTAAGAGTATATCGGCAAATCAGTTACAAGATAGATTATATATTTTTTTTTTAAACCATGCTTGATTGACATCTGTCATGAGGTTTACTGTGACGAAGTGTGCTAGCTTAAGATGATGACATGTAATTGTTGTAGTGTTGCTAAGTGACGGTAGCCGTGTAGTGATGCGCGTTCTCCACATCGGAATTCCCTACTCACGTAAAGCTGATTTGAGGTGGCTGAAGAATTTTAACACGTTTAAAATCAAAGTAGCGAAGATGATGTTATTATTTCACATGTTGACTTGATGAATATAGCAAATGCTTACTGTCTAGTTTGTGGACAGGCCTCATGTGCACTGCACAAAACAAAGAAATTTAAAATTATAAAGAAGTCACATTATTTAAATTGAACAAAAAAAATAATAAAATCTGACAATGCAAATGTTTCATTAAGCTAGTTTCTTTGAAGATTTTCAGAGACAGTTGGGCATTTAAAAAAAAAAAAAGAAGAAATTAATGACACATGCATCACTCATATCATTGATTGTTGAAATATGTTTTCCCCTAAAAAGTGTAGAGGTTGTGAAATCAAGTCTGCTAAGTCTAATCACAACACATTAATCGGGAATTTTAAACCGATACGAATTGCCGAATGCTTTCAAGAATTTTTTCCAAATATAAATTAAAAGCGCACTAAATAAAAAAGTGCGGACAATTTAGACTCTTGGGATACTGAAATTGTTTTTAATGTTTAACTTTAGTTTAACTTTTTGGTTGTTTTGGTTCTATAGTTATAATGAAGTGGCTATTTAGTAAAAAAAAATTTAACAAGCTTGCACTATGCATTCGTTGTGAAGATGGTAGACAGGCCCCAACATGATGTGCAGTTTTTTTGTCAGGACTTTTTCCATATACTTTTTTTGTTTGTTAATTATTTTTTTTTTACCTACACTTAATTTAATAAAAATTTAATAATGTCAGATATGTGGAGTACAAGTAAAAGATGTGTGATGGGAGGAGAGCGTTGTAGGATTAAAATTCATGATCCAACACCAATACATCAATAGTAACATTCTTCTTGTACATATTTGTTAAGCCTCGTATATATATATTTTCATTTAAATAGTATTGTGATGGAGACGGACTCTCACCAGATGGACGTTCATTTAGAGCCAGATTTTTTCTGAAGCCACCAAGTTGATCTTTCAAAAAATCTTTTATTGTTAAGCTGGACGCAGTCCCATCTACGCAAGAAGCTGTGCTGACATCAAGACATAATCTGGTAGAATGTTTACATTTGTATTCAGGATTCGTGCCATCGTTTCTTAATTTTACTAAAGTTGGCCACACTGGCGTGGTATCAGGTCAATTAAAGTTTGAACTCCCTATTAGGCCGGAACTGTTCGTGCTCCTGTCGACACTAGGGTCGTCTTGTTCTTGTCGGTACTGGAGAGGGCTTGTTCTTGTCGGGACTGGAGATGTCTTGCCCTTGTCTGGACTGAATGGGACGTTTTTGACGCAACTAGAACAGTCATATTCCTGTCATGACTGGAGATGTTTTATTCCTGTCGGGATCAGGGATGGTCCTTTTCCTTCCGGCACTTGAGCAGTCTTGCTCTTGCAGGGACTTGATCACACCAGCGTTTCTGGTTTTGTATTTGGCTTTCCTTCCCATTAAGATTCAGAAGCTCCATGCCCCATGTCTCCACACGGCGGTCTGTCACTTCCAGAAGCTCCATGCCCCATGTCTCAACACGGCGGTCTGCCACTTCCAGAAGCTCAATGCCCCATATCTCCACACGGCGGTCTGTCACTTCCAGAAAATCCACGCCCCATGTCTCCACACGGCGGTCTGTCATATCCAGAAGATACAAGCCCCATGTCTCCACACGGTGGTCTGTCATATCCAGAAGATACAAGCCCCATGTCTCCACACGGTGGTCTGTCACTTCCAGAAGCTCCATGCCCCATGTCTCAACACAGCCTTCTGTCACTCCCAGAAGCTCCATGCCCCATGTCTCCACACGGTGGTCTGTCACTTCCAGAAGCTCCATGCCCCATGTCTCCACACGGCGATCTGTCACTTCCAGAAGCTCCATGCCCCATGTCTCAACACAGCGGTCTGTCACTTCCAGAAGCTCCATGCCCCTGCCCCATGTCTCCACACGGTGTTCTGTCACTTCCAGAAGCTCCATGCCCCATGTCTCAACACGGCGTTCTGTCACTTCCAGAAGCTCCATGCCCCATGTCTCCACACGATGGTATGTCACTTCCAGAAGCTCCATGCCCCATGTCTCCACACGGCGGTCTGTAACATCCAGAAGCTCCATGCCCCATGTCTCGACACAGCGGTCTGTCACGTCCAGAAGCTCCATGCCCCATGTCTCCATACGGCGGTCTGTCACTTCCAGAAGCTCCATGCTCCATGTCTCCACACGGCGGTCTGTCATATCCAGAAGATACAAGCCCCATGTCTCCACACGGTGGTCTGTCACTTCAAGAAGCTCCATGCCCCATGTCTCAACACGGCGATCTGTCACTTCCAGAAGCTCCATGCCCCATGTCTCAACACAGTCTTCTGTCACTCCAAGAAGCTCCATGACCCATGTCTCCACACAGCGGTTTGTCACTTCCAGAAGCTCCATGCCCCATGTCTCCACACGGCAGTCTGTCACTTCCAGAAGCTCCATGCCCCATGTCTCAACACAGCGGTCTGTCACGCCAAGAAGCTCCATGCCCCATGTCTCCACACGGCGGTCTGTCACTTCCAGAAGCTCCATGCCCCATGTCTCAACACAGCGGTCTGTCACTCACAGAAGCTCCATGCCCCATGTCTCCACTGTCACTTCCAGAATCTCCACGCCCCATGTCTCCACACGGCAGTCTGTCACTTCCAGAAGCTCCATGCCCCATGTCTCAACACAGCGGTCTGTCACTTCAAGAAGCTCCATGCCCCATGTCTCCACATGGCGGTCTGTCACTTCCAGAAGGTCCATGTCCCATGTCTCAACACAGCCTTCTGTCACTCAAAGAAGCTCCATGCCCCATGTCTCCACACGGCGGTCTGTCACTTCCAGAAGCTCCATGCCCCATGTCTCAACGCAGCGGTCTGTCACGTCCAGAAGCTCCATGCCCCATGTCTCAACACAGCGGTCTGTCACGCCCAGAAGCTCCCTGCCCCATGTCTCCACACGGTGGTCTGTCACTTCCAGAAGCTCCATGCTCCATGTCTCCACACGGTGGTCTGTCATATCCAGGAGATCCATGCCTCATATCTCCACACGTTTGTCTGTCACTTCCAGAAGCTCCATGCCCCATGTCTCAACACGGCCGTCTGTCACGTCCAGAAGCTCCATGCCCTATATCTCCACAAGGTGGTCTGTCACTTCCAGAAGCTCCATGCCCCATGTCTCCACACAGCGGTCTGTCACTTCCAGAAGCTCCATGCCCCATGTCTCCACACGGCGGTCCTTCACTTCAAGAAGCTCCATGCTCCATGTCTCCACTGTTTATGCCATTGAAGTTATAGACAGAGAATTGGCATTTTTCATTATCCTGGGGACTTACCATGCCCCTACATTATTGTGTTATGTTTCTCATCACGCCTAATAAATCGTATACATCCATTAAGATCCAACTCATAGGTAAACCACGGATGGGTTGTGGAGCAATGAAAGAAGGTGTATAAAGCCTAAGATAAGACACCTACTCAAATAAGGGTAGGGACTTGGTTAGTGTAACAAGTTGTCGCCTTGTTCCTATCGGGTCTGTGAAGGTCATCTTCCTTTAGGAACTGTGATGGTTTTCTACCTGTCGGCACAGTAGTGAATTTGTTACTGTCGGGTCTATGGTTGTCTTGCTCCTGTCGGGACTGTGATGTCTTTGTTCCTGTCGGGCATATAGTTGTCTTGTTCCTATCAGTACTGTATTGGTCTCCATCTTGATTAACACATCTTTATATGTGGTAATGGATGTGAAGAAAGTATGAATTGTTTGATTTTTTTTTTCCTTTTTTTTAGGAATGCTTCTTTTCCACAGATAGTTTTTAATAAACGCAAGGAGAGAGTTCTACATTCTTTGATAACATTTATCTGAATTTGTCAAACTTTCATGTCCTGTTTTAGAACTTGACAATTATGTATCAGCTTCAAATAACATAACTGGTGTACCAACAGTCGCACCGTTTGTCCTTCTTTACGTTCAGTCCACTTTTGTTTCGTTTGATGTTTAGAAAAAAAATCTCACATTTCAACTTTTAAAACAACATTATTTTCATTATTGCCAACAGGTTAAAATACTACAAGATGATGATGATGATTGATTACTTTTATAGCAGTTGTGTCCTTGCTATTCTAGCACGCTCACAGCGCTCTGATGTGCTAGAATCTATTCACAGAAAACAGTCTTTAAGTGGTTCTTAATTAACTTTTTACTATTTTCATTGTCCCTTAAAGACTAAAGCAAACTGCTCAACAAATTTGGCGCAATAGCTTCAAAAGAGCGCACTCCATAAAAAATTCTTTCTGTGTCCAACCTCACTGGAAACTATCAAAGATCCCTCTAGCATATATTATAGGACATATATTAAATGACAATTCAAAAAATGTATTGTGACTGACTAAACAAGTAGTATTTCTATTACATACACTTATAGACATTGTGCATATTATAATGTAGCTCTGTATATTTCGATACCATTGACATTCATAGAAGCACACAAAGTAATCAAACAAAATATTATATAAAATCTCAGTATAAACTTTAAGAGAACATTTCACATTGTTTTTGTTTTTCTTCTCTAATGAAATCTATATTTCTTTATGTGTTGTCTATCTTTGTAAAAATAGATCACCTACCAGTCCTTGACAACGACTCATAAATTGAAATCAAACATGGTATAACAATTCAAAACAAAAAAGTAATTATGTATAATAAAACATTTCTGTTTTAATATTTGAAATATTCCTTGAATTTAAGGTTGTACTTGTAATAGATAAAAATGTTAAAGACTGATGCGTAGATCTCAAAATGTTCTTTCCCCTTGACCATGACGTCGTACAGGTTTTGGTACAGCCCGCCTTGAGTTAATTCAGGCACGAATGCCACGGCCAGGAAAATAAATATCTTGGGCGTGTTGCTGACGATGTAGACCGCCGAGATGAAGATGACCTGTTTAATGACCAGCAGCTCTTTCCCGCTGATCTTGCTGGCGGCTCTGACGACCTCATCGGATGCGTCAGTCCGTTGGCGTGAAAACGTTCCTGATCGCATCTTCTCCCGGACCTGAACGGTTCTGATCAAAGATCTGGACATAAGAACCACACAGGTCACTATGATGATTTCAGAGGTGATGGCGATGAAGGTATCTCTGCCGTTCCAGACGATGCTTTTGACGAGGTCGCGATAAGGAGAGAACCACATCGAACGACGGGACGCGTTAATCTTGACGTCGAACTGGTCCGTGACCCCCATGGTGGCCATGATCGGGACGTACGTCACGACGGCGATCACGCAAATGAGTTTCATGACCCGGAACGTGACCAGAACGGAAAACGTGTTTTTGAAGCTGAGCGGTTTGACCACGCACATGCATTTAACCACCGCGAGATACGTTGTGATCAGAGACGGTACGGCGAACAACAATGCCCGAATATTACCGAAGTAAACGTTGAACACGTATGGATTGACGCGAAAACGTATCGTGTACTTTGTAGCCATCTCAGTCACCCAAAACAGCATGGACAGCTTCTGACCGAGCGCCGCTAAACAGCACAGTAGCTCTGACGATGACAGGAATAACATGGACACCGTGACCCCGTCGTCCGCCCCCATGGCTAAGAATGTTCTGATGGTGATCGCGTTGGTGATGACTCCCAGGGTGGATAAGACCAGATCAATGGACGCGTACATCCCCATGGATATGATGAACTCTTCGTTGGTCACCGGGGAGTCAACAGCAGAGGACGTGGCAGCGTCATACAAAGTGGGCATTTTGGTTAAGTTAACTACACGTAGTGTCAGCATGATTCTCTCCTGTTCTTCAAGAAATGAAAAGGTATATTTCTTTCCAGCCTGTCTATTGTTACCACTGTCCACTTTATATTTTATTCATACGATATATTCTAGTAATATTATATGTAAACTTTTATATTCACTGCTATTTCAAAAGAATCTACTTCTAAAAATAAATGAAGAGTTTAAAGCAACTAGCGCCATAATAATATATCCCAAAAAACTCCAGGATTGTACTTTCATTGACTATTTTATAAATTGTGAGCGCCTACTACTATATTACAGAGAAATAACACATTTATGGAAGTTTTGAATTTTTATCGTGACCTGCTACAGGTTAAATAATTATATGCAATTTATTACATTTTACAAGAAGTTTTAGCGTTTTGAATTACGCTCAATTGAAAGATAAGTGGCTTCAATTCATTTTGTGACAGCCATTTCCCAGGCTTTGTCTCCAACTCCTATTTTATAAACTTAATCTACGCACATTATTAGTGAGGAAGACTATTAAATAGACCACGTTTCCAATCTCTTTAAGGATTTCAGTTTAACAAATTTGTGTCTTAAAGAAATTCAGAGGTATAAAAATTGGTAAATTGAAGAAGTAAAAAATATATAATAAACCTAGATAATTTTAGATAGTGTCACCAAAAATCATAATATCATAATGGAGGTATTAAACCCCACTTCACAAATGTATGAGCCGTGGCCAAATTATGTCATCTCAAATATCATAACGTTATGACCTTTTCCTACCAAAGAATAAAATAAGAGCTTTTTTTAAAATTCTTTTAGTTATCTTTATTTGGGTTATGGGTATTACTAATCAATCAGGAGCATCGACCAGTTCCAAGCTATTGTCACTGGTACCGTGTGTGTTCATAATCATGTTAACATATTCGGTAATCTTATGTACACTGCTGTCGCGCAAATGGCTGGAAAAATACGTTGCGAAAAAATGGTATGTTATTTTGTGATATTAAAACTCTTGGATCTATTTATTTTGTAAAAAAAAAAAAAAAAATGAACACGAGTGAAAGAATTTTTCTTTTCGTAATTTATATTATACAATCGCTAGATAAAAATAAGTTGCGAAAAAATGGTATGTTATTTTGTGATATTAAAACTCTTGGATCTATTTATTTTGTAAAAAAAAAAAAAAAATGAACACGAGTGAAAGAATTTTTCTTTTCGTAATTTATATTATACAATCGCTAGATGACAGAATGAAATAAATCGATAAAAAAATGTTGTCGGTATTTGTGAAGGGAATTAGGCGATCCTGCGTGACACATTAAAGGACGAAGAAAAGTATAAAACTATGTCTGTTTGTCGTGGCTCATACACAAAGTTTCTTTAATATTTGTTTTGTAAAATACTATTTATAGACATGAAAGTCCACAAATGAAACGCAACTCATGTTTCATTTGAACAAACTTATTTCATGACCGCATGCCTTTTCTCAGTTTTTTTAAATATTAACATGTATCATTTCAGGGAAACGTCCGAACTTGGGAGGGGGGATATGATGATATGATGGTATGATGGTATAATGGTAGAATGGTATGATGGTATGATGGTATGATGGTATGATGGTATGTGAGGGGGGGGGGGGGGGGGGGGGAGTGGGGGGGGGCTATCCAATGGTATTTGAAAGATTGTTGAAATGAAGACGAAGTTTTACATCTTGCAAATTTTGACAAAGATCGCAGCCCAGTATTTAGGCAGTCGGTACGCATGCGAATTTAACGCTTAGTCTGGTTCTAGGCGAATAGTCACCCATGCCCCAGAATTAATCATACGAACGTTGATCTATACGGTCGCAGGACACTGAAGTATGAAGTTGGAAATGTTTTTTTACATGGGACGTCTAGCACTATTTTTTTTTACAGCATCTCGTGTGAAAAAATGTGTCTTTTTAAATAACTATAACGTGTAATAAAAATACTCGCAAATTCAAAAAAATGTATATGCGTGCTGGTATTTAATTGCAGGTATTTTGTAGATAACCTTAAAATCTTATTTAAAAAAAAAAAAAATTTACATTATTCATAATGGAGTAGACAATCAACTTACATTATTTCATGACATATTACATTAAATAAAGGTCCAAGATTCAATGTTAGTGCCTGTATATTTCTGCATACCCTTCAGTGGAGGCACTAATCAATCATTAAAATATTTTTTGTAAGCGCTCGATAAAAATTTGTATATATACAACTAACATTCAAAAAGCGCTGTCAGTCGGTAGCTGACAGAGAAATGACTTTTTAAAAAGTTACTATTCACAAGATATATTAAAATGCACTGCTGACCAAAATTCACAATGAACTGAATCAGTGAGTAAGTTAACCTAAAAAGTGCCATGCAGTAAATAAAAATTTTAAACTTATTTATAAGACCTTGTATGGTTGTCTTAGACTGTATAAATTTATCCTATTGAAATAGCAAAAGATGCAATTTACAGGACAACATACTCCTGACTTATTTATAGCATGGAATTATTAATGGATTTTTCAAAGCTCCTTAAGACTATGAACTAGGTATTGTGCACAGAAAATTAAAATAAAGCTCTACAACATTGTCTGAATTTTGAATTAAATTTGTAATAGATAAAAATATTAACAACTGACGTCATAAGTTCAGAGAGTTCCCTACTTTTTATGATGACGTCATATAAATTTCGGTATCTCCCCAAAGGAGATAGGTCCGGAACAAAAGCCACACCTAAAAAGACAATGATCTTTGGCGTGTTGCCCGCGATAAAAATCACAGAAATCAACGCCACCTGCTTTATTATCTGGAGTTCTTTCCCACTGAGCTTGTGTGAAATTTTGTCATCACAATCTAAACTTGACTTGCGTTGATTAATTTTGCCAGAAAATGTACCGTTTTTCAACTGTGCTCGAAGTCTAACTGATCTGTGAAGAGCTTTCGTCACGATCATGAGACAAATAGAGACTATGACTTCAGAGCCGATGGCCGAGATTGTGTCCCGAGTTGTTGATATTACAGCCTTGACGAGATCTCGACCAGGAGCAAACCAGATCATGTGACGAGTCCTGTTTACTTTTAGATCGAATTCGACGGTGGTGCCCATGGTAGCGAATATTGGTACGTAGGTCAATACTGAAAAGACGCATACGCCCGCCATTATCCTCTGAGTTCGGGAAACGGAGAACATGCTTTTAAAACTAAGTGGCTTGACCACACACATGCATTTCGCTAAGGACAGATACGTCGTTGTCAGGATTGGTATCTCAAAAAGACACGCACGGATGTTCCCGAAAAACGCGTTGACCACATAAGGATTGATGAAGAACCAGGTCTCGTAATCTGTAGCCAACTCCGTGACCCAAAAGGCCATTGAAATTTTTTGACCCAATGCGGCCAGACAACACATGAGTTCTGATGCTGAGAGATATAAGAATGACACCGTGACCCCGTCGTCTGCTCCCATGGCCAGGAAGGTTTTCGTATTGACAGCGTTGGTGACGATACCCATAAGCGACAAGACCATGTCGACGCACGTGAAAAGCCCCATCAGAGTAACAAACTCATTCTGTGTAACGAGAATCTGAACAAATGAAGAATTCATTTTCATATTTATTAATCTTGGTGACGTGACAGTGAAAAACATGTACTGAAGTCAAGGTCTTTATTTTTAAAATAAAACTTGAAAATATATTCAGGTCACAGAGTTTGTTTAAATTTTTTTAAAATCATATCTATACCCTTGAATACACATATTAAATTCTTTGCCTTTCTGTTATTTAATTCGTATTTAAATAACTGTTCATAATTTTACACGTGTTTTTACATTATACCAATTAAAGCTTTGGTTTTGTGGGTAAGTTTGGTAAACCTGTTCAACTGTATTGATCTGTACAATGGTTCTCTAGTGTGGCTTTCTGTCTGTTGGATCAAGCCAAATTTAAAGAGAGTGATTTTCAACCACTACGTTGTGATAGTAATTATATTTGCTATATTTGTTGAAGTCTTATAATATTTAAAATTTCTGTAAATACCAATTATTGTAAGGTATAGTTCATGTTCTGTTGGTTTTAGAAACTCTGGCGAAAAAAAATTATAATAAGGTCTGTTTGCTTCTCTAAGTTAAGATGAAATTTTTATGTTGAGGGATATAAATTATCATTCTAAATTTTAAGAAAATCAAGTATAAAAAATCACAGCAACTGATTAGAAGAATATACTCCGATGCACAATTATGTTACTCAACAAATTTAAAAAAAATTAATTAACGAAAGGATGTGTAGGATATCTTTCATTTCTTCCGTTATTTCATCTAAAAATTCCCTTGAATATATGCAAATATAGTAATTTTAATTTAAGTGTGGGTGTGGATAAGTTTTAACTTTTTTTGTATAATAATTACATAACCTTGCTGTGTTCTTGTCAAGTCAAGTACGTTAGCCAACATGGGGTATACATGCAGAAAAGGAAGTCTATTCATGAATCTGAATCATTGCAGTGCAGAAATGCATTGGAATCCTGTGATTACTTGATTAAAGCGATTCAATAGAAATACGCAGCATCTTTCCATCTTCCCACGATTATGCTTTTTTAGAAGTTAATTTTGGCATCACCATTTAAAAAGGCCTGCATTCGTCGTCTCGGGGCCTTCTTGGCTTTCTCATTCCATTGTGTCAGCTGGTGGAAAAAAATACGTTTTCTCTAAGGGTGATGGACTGACCCCTTCGCAGTGGTTATTTACAGTACAAAGTCGGACGAAGGCGTTGGAATCTTGGCAATACATAGTAGCTTTACTATAGGAGAGTGTGTACACTTTTCTCATTTAAAATAGGAGATTGTGTACAATCTTCCCTTTGATATACCAGAGTATGTTCAATTTTCTCTTTAACATAGGAGAGCGTGTCCAGTTCATTAACTTTAATATAGCAGAGTGTGTACACATTTCTCTTCAATAGACCAGGATATGTACGTTGTGTATACCCTCCATTCCCACTACAGAACTGGGGGGGGGGGCATTTTATGTGTATATCTTCCTTGTCATGTGCTCTCTTGTGACCTACTTGAATTTGTGTAGCAAAGGGTCCAGCAGGTGGTGGAGGAGACTCCGGAACAGACGGCAAAGTAGATGGTGGAACAGACTGAGTAACAGATGGTGGAGTAGATGGCTGAGCTGATAGTGTAGCTGATAATGAGATGACTTGAAACAGTTGGGGAAGAACATGGTGGATTAGACAGCGGAGAAACCAAGATGTTGTGTGCAGTTCTGAACCAGAAGATACCGCTACACGCAGGTACTACAGGTATTTCGATTACATACTTGATGTGACGTGACGTACGTTGTCTAGGGGTCGGTCCCCTCTGTACTAGCCACAGAACGAATTTTCAAGGGTCTAGAACCCCTTTATTTCCAGCTCCTACAGAGCTGACTCTTGCTCCAAGTATCAACAAACAATTCAGAGATTCAGGTTTTCTTATTTATTGGCTTGTGTGACTAACAATGGAAAATTTATTAGGAATAGGCTCTGGTGTTCAGAATAAAAAAACTCCACATACTATACTTAACAGTTAAAGTTACACAAGTCCTCTTCCATCCGTAGAAAAAACTCACTGCCTTCATAAGACAAAAATCATACACCATATCCACAGCACTCGCCACTGTTCACTCCCTCAAAACTCACTCACACACGTGGTTTCTCCCGACACAGCACACCAGTCATACCTTGACCGAGAAAATTAAAAACTCGTGGGGCACACGGGGAAAATAAACTCACCCACGATTGGTCAAATTAACATTATAGAAGTTGACACAAAAAACTCACGCGATCTGACCGTGACACTTGATAATATATGAGGCACTGCGGTCAACCTTTCTGTCTTGAACACTGAGCTGCATTGACTTACTTGAGGCCTTCGAGGAACATAAGTTTAATTTTTAAATTTCAATTCATTGGTTATTGCGTTGTCTGCTGAATAAAGGTATAAAGCCGAAATGCCGATTTAATCGTCCTGTCTATTATGGTCAGGCCTCAAACATATCTTGGCCCACTATTTAGTTTACACGCTTGATGTAGTATAGAAACGATTCATGACTCTAATAGTTGAGCAAGAAAAACCTAAGTTTCAGAATGTCATTACAATAACATTACCTAACCAGGCCGGCTGAAGGTCGTCTGAAGAATGTCGCATGTTCGCTAAACCAGTGGCGTAGAAAGGGGTTATCCCCGGATGGGTAATATTTTATTATAAAGAAGAGTGGACTTTTTTTTTTTTGGAAAAGGGGGAGGGGGGAATTCTTGTCCCTCCACGGTTGCAACTAGCCACACTAGCTAAATCATCGTCCTTATGATTCTTCTTTTAATGGAGGCTTTGGCGTTGTCATTTAATATTTTAGTTATTCGTTTGTCACAAACAAAAAAGGTATACGACATTAGACAAAACTTATCGTCAACCATATTAATATGGTCATGTGGCGTGGAGTAAAAAAAATGTGCCGATTCGAGCCTTGAAACAAAAAAAAAATATGGGGGGGGGGGGGGCAATATTTGGGTTTTTTATGAAATGCGTTACTTGTATGGATGTTTTGTCAAGTTTTTAAAAAAAGGGGCGGATAGGGAGTAGAAAAAAAAAAAAAAAAGGGGGGGGGGGGGGGGCAATAATTGGGATTTTTATGAAATGCGTTACTTGTATGGATGTTTTGTCAAGTTTTTAGATCCGCCCCATTGCACGATGTGAATTACATAAAGGATTGATAAAAAAATTAAACAATGTTTTTTAAGTGTTTGTTTAATTCCTCCACAAATCGTGACGAACTTTCTCCTGGAATCTATTCTTTTTTTAAAATGGTACTTTAGGGAAAATGGCACACATATGTTTTTTTCTAAGTGCATATCTCTAGTAAGTCAACAGACTACTTTAAAATACATTATTATTACCAAATAATTATTGGCTGCGAAATAATACGTGAACTTGCAAGTACATTGAAATAGAACATGTAATATAACATGCATGTGAGATTTGTTACGTATAGCATGTGATTGACAGCCTACCAAACATGGTTATGTTGTTTTTTGAACAAAATAATAACATGAGAATGTTTATTGGGTGATTGGATGGCTGGATATATGTGTCTTGAGTGGATGACAGTGTCTGGTTGAGTGTGACTGGTTGACTGTGACTGGTTGATTGTGACTGGTTGACTGTGACTGGTGGACTGTGTCTGGTTGAGTGTGTCTGGCTGTGTGTGTATGTTTGACTGTGACTGGTTGACTGTGTCTGGATGACTGTGTCTGGTTCTGTGTGCATGGTTGGGTGCGTATGGTTGACCGTGTCAGGTCGTCTGTGTCTTGTTGAGTGAGCCTGGTTTGACTTTGTCTGGTTGTCAGTGTCTGTTTGTGTGTGTATGGTTGAACGTGTCAAATTGTCTGTGTCTTATTGACTTTATTTGATTGTTTGTGCCTGGTTGACTGTCTGGGTGCCTGTGTCTAGTTGACAGTTTTGTCATAACAACATGAAATGGCACACGTATCGACTGGAGTTCAAAACGCCATAGTTCATTTCCCATATTAGAGACCGAACGAAAGTAATTTTCTGATTTCGGCCGAAGCCGAAAATAGGTTGAAAGTTTAAAATGACTTTCGGCCGAAACCGAAAAAAAGGTCAACAGTTAAAAATGAATTTCGGCCGAAAACGAAGCCGAAACAGAAGCCGAAACCGAAAATGAAATATTAAGATATTTTGAATTTCGTTCCCGCTAGACTCACTCAACAAGACACAGACGACCGGACACTGTCAACCATACGCACCCAACCATGCACACTGAACCAGACACAGTCAACCAGACACAGTCTGTTGAAAATATTAAGTTGCTAAGCTACTTCACAAGGAAGATAATCAAACAACAGTGGCAACCACCAAGGTTAGTTCAACGTTTTATTTTAGGAGAACAACATGGAGTCCTACCAACATGGAGCACTCGACAAGACAGCATAAAAACATGACGTCACTACACAATAAATAATGTGGTGTGCAAAACAATGCGCAATTAGCATTCAGCATTTTGTCAATTTCCAACACTCCTTCTCAAAATACAAAATAAAGTTAATTCATTGGATTCACACCAAGCATGACTCTAAGAATCTTGAATCTTTGCTGATACAGTCCCTTAGTAAGAATATCAGCTTTCATTTGTGCAAGCAACCGAGCTTTAGACTATGTCTCTCAATTTGTCTCTCAGCGTTTACTTTGATCATAAACAATCATTTGCTTCCTACAGCTTTTCTTCCTTCTGGCAGTTCTACTAAAGCCCAGACTTCGTTTTCTTGAACTCGCCATGGCCTGTCTCGCTGTACTGGGTTCTTCCAGATCCCGAGTCAAGTTTAACAACTCACCATATCGTTTTGGTGGGCGTTTAACTCTCGCTAATCGTCTGACATCTAGCTCCTTATCTGGTTCATCAACACCTTCATCATCAGGATCATCAACACTTCATTTACTTCTTCATCGACGTCATTATCAATGAATTCCCGAAACAAAGGTGTTGATTTCTGAGACATTCCAGTCTCCTTCTCAAGACCGAACTTATTTTCATTAAACAGAACGTATCTG